ATGTCTTTGAAGCTTAGAAATATCTTTATTATATATCGCAACATCAAATAAAATGAGCAAAACACATTTAATTATCACACACATATACAAACTGTGATGAAAAGCCAAAAAAAAAAACATGGCACTAAAACAATTGTTTGATTATATCTGTCATATTTTTGTCTTTTTGAGTATTGTGATAAATCTGCTTTAATAAATATCAAGAATTTTTAAAAGTCGTACTTTTTGTTTTTTCTATACATGTCTATGTGTAATTATTGGACTAGTATCATTTACTGAATTATTTGATATTCCAACTTTTTTTTCTATATCACGTGCTTCATTATAAAGTACAACACCAAATATAACTGTTAATGTGCCCAAACCACTAAGAAATGTCACTTGATTTTTAAAAATAAGTACCGATAACCATATTAATAAAGCACGTTTCACAGTATTAGCAACACTAACAAAATTAAATGAAATAAAAATAAAAAAATAATTTAACATAGACTTTACCTATGTGTTATTGGTGATATATAAGCCATAACAGCATAAGCAGCAAATGATTGAATATGATATGATATACCATTAAAAATATATAATAGGAAAAGTATTGAAGAAGTTGAATTAATTGCTGATAAAATATCCACATTATAACAAAGTATAGGTAATTGAAAAATTGAAGCAACAAGACTTGCCCAAAATTGTAATTCAACAGCTGTATAACGATAACGTTCACCACTGATTAATATTTTTGAATAAACATTTTGTAAACTGTAAAGAAAATAATTTTTTTTTTTTGAATTTACTTATATATTTTAATTAAATATATTTTTACCATTCAAAAAAAATTGTTCCCAATGCACATAAAAATCCCAAAATATTAAAACTTAATTCAAATGAACTACATAAAGCAAGACCAATTGTAATTGGTATCATAGAAAAATATGTCCAATGACCTATTTTTTCTCCTATTAGTATTCTACTAATAACAACTGTAAATAATGGTGATGATGCTTTTATTGTTGCAACAAATGAAACAACAATATATTTAAGTGCTAATAAACCTAAAACAACTGTAATACAACGAAATGCTCCAATATATAACATATCTTGAAAAATATTTTTTATATTCGGTGAAGTTTTATGTATTTGTGTTGAAATTTTTTTCATGATTTGCATTTGTATAAAACTAGTTATAATTGATAACAAAAGTTGATTCATACCTTTGAAAAAACAAACAAACAAACAATTTATTTAATAAAAAATAAATGCTCATGTTTTTATTTTCTTTAAATACCTAATGAAAAAACATCACCATTTAAACTACTTAAAATATATTTATTTGAAAAAAGTGTAGCACCCGATGAAATATACCAAATAATTAAATATATAATAGCCATATAGTTTTGTAAACCTTGCGGAACATCACGAAAAAGTCGTTCAGATGATAATAATCCATTTGTTTTTTCTGAAACAACTTCGTTAAGACTCATTGACGTCGTTTAAATAATAATAATTAGTATCATTATCATTATTGTTTTCATATTATGGACGGACATATGACAACGAATCGAATGTTGTAATGTTTACATGCATCAAGGACAATATTTATTTCATTGGTTACTATTATTGATCAATCATTTTAAATATCAAAGATGGTGTTAAAGAAGGTTTAATTGAGTACATAATTTAGATCGTAATTGGTTAATAAAATGCGAGCTCGTTTAACCTATATTTTTCGTCAAAAATTCACACATCAAATAATTACAACGAGTTTGACAGGTGGATTGTTTGCAGGTAATATTATTAAATATAAACGATGGCAAGTTTATAAACATTCATTTCTTTTATTTTTTTTTTAATCATTTTACAAGGTTATTTATTTTCAAAATATAAACCAATTGTTCATGCTGAAACAAATACATCTATTAGAGTTGGAGAACGAATTTCAACATTACCAACTTATAGTATGGTTGAGGTTGCTAAGCATACAACACAAGAGAATGGTAATATGAAAATGAAATTATAGACTTTTTTTGTTATTTACTAATAAAGATATGGGTGTGTGTAACGTCACGCACCAAGAGTACCTAAAAATTTGACCTTCAATTTCTTAGCCGATGAATCAGTATTGAATTCTGATTGTTTTTCATATCTGAACCCTAAATAGTGAAAATTGAGCAGAAAGAAAAGTATTAAAAACAATTTGAAATACAGATATGTCGACTTAATTTTTCGTACGAATTTCAGATATGATATTTGTTTAAGATCAAATAAGGATTATTCTTTTCGAAAATCATCAAACATAAATATTGTTTGTACCTCGAGAAACTATAACTTCATAAATCTGAAAGAATCATTGTTTATAACAATAGGACTTAAATCGAAGAAATATTTAGCATCTATCAATAGAACAAAATTTTAATATTTAAGAAATTTTAATAAATTCTCATAGTGAAAATAATTTTGCATCTATTTTTATTGAGCGTAAATTGAATTCGAAGGAAATTTCAGATCAAAAATTGTTTTTTTTTTACAACTTTCAGAAAGCGTTTCAAATCTTTCTTATTATCTGAGTCTCTCTGAAAAAAAAAATGTGGCGTTTGTAATCAACTCTATCAAATTATAAAGATTGTTAATAAAACGGTGGTAAAAAGTCTTTTGTGGTATCTGAAAGGGATTTCATGTATGAACAATATTTAGATGTCAACGTTGATCACCAGACGAAGAAAATGAAGATTAGATTTTCAGATAAATCAAGTCTGCAATGTGAAACAACTTCTTTTTTGAGGAACAGTTCGTATTTGTAGAGACAGTTCAGATAAAACAATCTGATAGTTTGTTTTGAGATTTGTAAAAAAACCAATTGATCGATAAATTTCACAAGCAAAAGTCTTCTAAACTATTATAAAAACACATATTTCTAACTTTCAGCAATTACAAATAATAAAATTACAATTAGAAAAAACAGTGAAGCGTTTGCTATTTTCTTTCAATCTATTCAATTTGTCAAAATAACTCTGAAATTAATATCCTTTGCATTATGACGGCCTGCTGGGTTCTACATTTCATTGAGGATGCATGCCACTAATAAGAGAACTACCTGAACTGATCCTTCGAGTTCAAAATGAGACTTCATTCATTATGTAGGACACGTGTTCAAACTAGAAGAATCCTAGATGAGTTCTTCTAGTCTCAATATGACTCTATCAAACGTAAGATGTCACCTGGAGTAGTTCCTTCATGAACATTATTGAGTGTACGAACTTCTCCTAGAAGTTAATGAGAGGAATTTTACATTGGGTAGAAATCCATCGATCTCATTTTTATATGTAATAAAATATTCTATTCTATATTTATTCTCTAGGTTATTGGCTTGCCTTTAGAGATGGTGTCTATGATATAAGTTCATTTGTTGAAAATCATCCAGGTGGTAAACAAATTTTGAAAACAGTTGGTAAACCATTAGAATCTTGTTGGAAAATATTTACAATACATCAAATTGAACATGTTTATGAAATCTTAGAACATTATCGAATAGGAAATTTACCACCAGGTATAATAAATAGACAATATTGATATTTTAATTGAAATAATTTTTCTAGGTGAAAGAGAAGCAAATGAAAAAATTCAAGAAGAAATTCTCGATTTATTTCAATATGATCCTGAACGAATAAATGCAAAAGACAATTTTTTTATTCGTTCAGAAAGACCATATAATGCTGAAACAAAACCTTCTGTACTTGTTTCATCATTTATAACACCTGTTGAAAAATTCTATGTACGAAATCATATGCATGTACCATTTGTTAATATCAATGAATATAAATTAGAAATTGGAAATGAAAAATCAACTTATTCACTATCATATGATGATTTAAAAGATAAATATCAATCATATACAATAATATCAGCTTTACAATGTGCTGGTAATCGTCGTAGTGGAATGAATAATGAACAACAAGGAACAGTACAAGGTACATCATGGAATGTTGGTGCTATTGGTAATGCTCGTTGGACAGGTGTTAAATTACGTGATGTTTTGGAATCATTTGGTCTTGATAAAGAAGGAAAACATGTACAATTTATTGGTCTCGATTGTGATTCATCACAAAGGTAAAATTTTATTAATAAGTATATTTATAAACAAATAATTTGTTTTTATGTTTATAAAGATGTTATGGTGCATCAATTCCAATAGAAAAAGCACTTAATGACGATACATTAATTGCATATGAAATGAATGATGAAACATTAACAAGTGATCATGGTTATCCATTACGTGTATTAGTACCGGGTACAGTTGGAGCACGTAGTGTTAAATGGGTTAATCGAATTATTGTTTCGGATAAAGAATCAGATAGTCATTGGCAAAAAGCTGATTATAAAATTCTTCCATCATCAATAAAAGAACCAAAACAAATTGATTATGATCGTATACCTGCTTTACAAGAATCAAATGTTCAATCAGCTATTTGTTATCCAGCATCGGATGATGATGGAAATAAAGTTAAAATTTTATCAATTAAACCAAATGATGATGATATTAAAAATAAAAAACTTACAATTAAAGGTTATGCATTTAGTGGAGGTGGAAGACAAATACATAATGTACAAATTAGTCTTGATCATGGGTGAGTAGAATTATTTATTGTTAATCATTGAAATATAATTTGAATAAGTTAGATTTATCGATAAACAAACATAAATTATAGAAAAATTAAATTCGTTTCTATTTATAAAGAATAAAGTGGCTAGTAATAATTCATACCGAGGTTAATAACTTTTTATATGAACTATAAATATTCCTCAAAAGTACTTTGAGACATTCAACTATTGATAATCAATTATATAAGATATATAAATAACCTCATATCAATTGTTTCTTGTCATCATACAAATGATCGACGAGCTATATTTCACTTTGTTAAAAGTTCAATTAGTATTTTTCATCAATTTTTTATTTTACTTTATATTCTAAAAGTAATCCAGATAATCATTTGTCCTTAATGAATATTCATGATAACTAAAAAAAGTAACAATTCATAAGATAATTACTCATTGAACTATAATAAAAAAGAAATATAAAATTATTGCACTCGGATATAGGTGCAAATATCATTCAAAATAAATCTTCCGTATTAATAATAAGATAAAAACATATCGAAGTAGAAAATAAATCAAAATTAAAGAGGAAAAGATTTTATATTAACTTTCCGTTATATTATAACATAATAATATATTATTAAAGATGAAAGAAATACTACACATCATTCATCATGTATTAAATTTAATTCGATTTGAAAGATTCAATCAAATTAAAAGAAAAAAAAAATTAAAATTGTTTTAGAAAAACATGGTTTCTAACTGAACTTGAACAACTAGCGCAACCATATATGCGTGCATGGTCATGGACTTTATGGACTTATGATATACCATTCAATGATATACCTTCTAAACCATTTGATATTGTTTGTCGTGCAATGGATATTCATACCAATTCTCAACCAGATACTCCATTAGGAATATGGAATATACGTGGTCTTATGAATAATGCTTGGCATCAAGTAACTTTAAAAATTGATAAAAATTTCTTAAAAGAAAAAAATCAATGAATTCAAGTAAATTTGTTTTTCACAGTTAATTAAATTTCAAAATTTTTTGTTTTTTTTTTATACACTGATTGGTGATTTGATTTGTATTTTTTTTTATGATTAAATTCTTTTTTTTTTGATTTTTCGTTAGCAAACGTAGGATATATATTAATAAATATATATATATATATATTAATTAGTGTTTGCAACAGAGCTTTGTTTTTCAATACACCATCGAATCATTGAGATAAGTTAATGACATTCTTTTGCCCTTGTTTGATAGATTTTTTTCAAAAAAAAACTTGTTATAATATCTGTTTGGCATTTATTCCCATGTTGATAAATCACAAAAAAAAAAATTGAATATTTATTTTAGAAGAAACATTAATGAAATTATGTAAAATAATTAAAATAAAGGTTCATTTTGATTCAAGATAATAAGTTTAACAAGGATTTAAAAGAAGAATATAAAAGATATTTGTAATGTTTTTACTCTTTGACATTTTATTAGCTTCATTTTTCTTTAGAACATTTTTTCTTTAGAATATAATTACCGTTTGTTCATTTTTATTTTATCGTTCTTTCTAACGACTTTTGAATATTGAAAGGATCAATGAGAATATAAGAACGTAACTCATCATTGAAGGCAGAGGATGCGGCATAAGCACGTTTCAAAATTAGTAGTCGAATTTCAAGAGGAGGACGCTGGTATGTAAGCACATTTCAAAACTAGGTGGGTGTTATACTTCTTATGAAACCATATCATCATATTCAACATCAGAAGAATCTTTCTTTTCAACTCTTCTTAAACTAATTAACCTACATGAAGATGTTTCTTTACTTTAATTATTGCGGACAATTTAATCATACTTCTTCTAAAGAAAACTTCAAAATTGTAATGATAATAAGAGTATAGAGATATATATATCAAATAGATATTAGAAATAATCTTATTATATTCGATATAATGAAAGTTAGTAATCTGCCACATAAACCTTGAAAATATATTTACAAAATGAACTGAAGATTTTTATCATTGGTTTATGCAAAGGTACATACAAGAAACACTTTGTATTACTCAGATTACGATGTCAAAATTTTTGAAAAGTAATTTATTAGTTTGCATATAAACTTTTCTTTTCTATTATACTAATTGCATTACAAGATCAACTATTAAACTCAGCTGAATATTCAAACATGCAAATATATAATGTTAGTTATTTCAAGAAGTATCAACATTTCTAAAAAGAAAAAAATAGAAAACTTATGAACGAGCCTCATCAGTAAGTAGTAACAGTATATATTTCATCAAAAAGTAATTTCATGTAATTTATTCTTTTGATGTTTGGTATATACGTCAACTGCTTCATATTAATAGTTTATAATAATAAAGCAAAACAGGGAAATGAAATGTAAGTTCATTGGCTCCGGTAATAAAATGAGATAAATCCTTAAAGACTTATTTTAATGAAGCTTTATTCTAAGTTTATAATAATTCATTAAATTCTAGAGGTTCACAACATCATTATTAAGGAAAGATATCCAAGTGTGAGGCACCGTTTTAAATCACATGCATACTAGCTTGTAGAACTTGACGAACTGTTTCTAATGGCATTAAGTGTTCTTTTTGGTGAAGCTTCATATTAAACAAAATCAATCTTTTTCACTAGTAAGAGAACATATTTACGATACTGAAATTTTACACGTACTAGAATATGAAAGATCAAATTTGATCATCTCATTTTTGACTATAGATTCTCACTTAATCAGCTTAAAACTGACTAAGGCTATATTACTCTGTATGTTTCAATGTTGCTATCATTTTACAGCTATATAATGACACCAACATTAAAAAATACAGAGTAAAATATCGTTAGACACTTTTTAGTATATTAAATGAGAATCTAGAGCCCGAAATAAGATAATTAAACTTGATTTCTCACAACTGGAATTGATTGATTTTATCTAACGTAAAGCCCTATGGGAAAAAATGCTTTACTCTATTGAAATCAACTTGTCGAAGTCTATAAACTCATATACACCAGATTTAAACTGACGCCCACACTTGGACGCTTTCTCTCGTAAGATCGAAGGAATTATGAACCAGACTATTAACTACAATACTGCTTAACAATTAAATACTTCGACCACTATTGAATTCAAAAAATAAAAACAGATATTTGATTTTTTTCGTAATGAATAACTATTATTATTAGAAAGATTATCTTTTAATGAAAGTCTATACACATTTATCAACACCATAATTCAATGTATATTTCAACAGCGACTAGATAATTTGTATTTCATCCAGTGAAAATAAAATGTAAAAGAAACTTCTATTGATTTTACATAGGATCTAGAATTTTTTTTATATTATAAAAAATGAAGATTTCCTATAGTATGTTTGTGCCTGGAAAAAAGAAGTTAATAATTGAAAACAAAAGACAAAAAAAAAAGGTAAGTTGGTATGAAAACATATTCATGTCTTTTTCTTTTGCATGTTTCTTTTCATGGATTTAAATACATGCAAGGAATAGGATAATTCATTTTCTTTTTTTTTATACTGTGTCATTATCAACAAATATGATAAAAATAAAATGCGCATTAAATATATATTATTTCTTGTATCTTATAAATATAGGTGATTATGGTTTTAAAATAGAATTGACAGGATAACTTGAAAATTCTCTTTATCTCTATATGAATGACCATGTTGAATTCACAGAAGAAGAAAAAACCATGACAGCATTCAATTTTATTTTTATAGGTAATTTATTTATTGTAATAAGTACATTAGTTTTTTTTTTTCTTGTCTTTTATTTGATAATATACAGAATTTTAAGTATTTGATGTTTGTAATATCTGTTTAATGTTCGAAATCAAAAGACAAATATTATTCGGTCGTTGACAATTTTTATTGTCTGGTTTTTATTTTCATAATAAATTATTATTTGAATTGTTTTCTATTGATAGTTTCTTTTTTTTTTTTTTATTTTCTATGACGCATGTTAAACAAAGATTTTCTAGAATTGAATTTGATTATGATGATAAAAATAGTTTTGAAAATTATATTTTTAGAAACTGATACTTTTTTGTTTTGCTTTTTCTTATTTTATATCTTTGTTTTTTACTATTTGTATATTATTTCAATAGCAGTTAATTATGGAATTAAGTATCTAATCCTCTATTCATTTCCTTCATTGTATTACGATGTAATTAATCAGTGTTATTGTGCTTTTTTTTATATAGTTCATTGCGTTTATTTTTCTAATCATATATAGAAAGCAGAGCACGTAAATGTAAGATATTACTCTCGCCTGATATAAATGAAAGTGATTTGCTCGTAGTCCATACAATAAGTAAAACATTTTAAAATGTCAATCATTATTCTGATAAAACATGCTTTCATATGAATTTCTTTTTTTAACTTCTTCAATCTTGTAATTTTCATTCACGGCATGACATTATAGTAGATATGCGCATCAATTTTTATTCATAATTACAAAAGATATGTTTGGCATAAGTTGTTTGTTAACTACTCTTTTATATTCATCATTACTCTACTAATCGAATATATTTAGCAAAGGTAATATGAACAATTATTTAACTACTTGTTTATAACATTTTTATAAATCAATATTATTAAGTTTCAAATTAAAAATAATCACGTTCAGAAATATAAACTTTTTTTTATACTAGAGAATTGTTTTTTTTCTTTCGATAATTAATAAACAATTGAGATAATTTTTTTGCCATCATTTTTTGTGAGAATTGAATCATATATCTTTGTTTTCTTTTTTTTTTTTATTAAGGTTATTGAAATATCATAGTTAAATTATATTACATTGTACTAGATATATAGATATGTATTATTGAGTAGAATATTTTAAATTTAGGTCTTGTTACTTTTTTCGTTATTATTCAGGTCATGATACATCTTATTTAATAAAATATATCAAAGTCAACAAATAGACTAGTTAATTATTTGCGTATGAATATCATATATTGCCTTGCTATTAAGCATCAGTTAGTTTTCATCGTCTTTTTGAATTCTTAATTACCATTATCTAGGACATGATATCTGCGACAGAAAAAAAAAAAAAAACAAAAGTAAGTGAAATAGAATAGTGAAGTACGTCATTATTTTCTCATGTCAATGATTGCTCATTGAATGTAGAGAATATATATAAAAAAAAAAAAAGAAGGAAAAAGATATAATAAGATCTTATTTTCTATTGTTATAGAATGAGGCATAATAAAATATTTCATTTTATAAAACGACGTAATTATGATATTTATATATCATAAAAAAAAAAAGCATGTCACGGTAATCTTAAAAAACTATTTCATAAACAAAATTGATATAAAAATAAATCTTTCTTTTTTTTTTTTTATTACATTATTATTATAATATAATTAATTTTAGATTTTAAGAATAATGTCTTACATAGAAAATATTACATTGAGTAATTTAAATACTACTTTAAATGAAACTATATCATCATCATCATCATCATCTTATTTTAATCCATTAAATTTTTTCTTTAATCATATTTATTTATTATTATTAGTTATAATTGGAAGTATTGGTAATGGTTTTGTTATTATTGTTTTTGGTCAAAGAGCATTACGTACAACAATTGTATATGTTGGTTCAAATATGTCAGTTTATCCATTTTTATTTTATATGGCTATATCAGATACAATTTATTTATTTATTTTATTCTGTTTATGGTTATCTAATTATAGAAATATACTTCATCGACCAATAATTTGTCAATTAACATTATATTTAACATATGTGTGCAATTTTATAAGTGCTTATTATACGGTATCATTTACTGCTCAACGTTTATTTGCTGTTGTAAAACCATTTCGTGTTTCTCATGTACTTTCATGGTATCGTTCTCGATGTTTAGCATTATTAATAATCTTAATTGCTTGTATTATTTATTCATATTTACCATTTCTTATTGGAATTGTTAATGGACGTTGTTATTCATTAGAACATTTACGTTGGA